TACAAAGGCCTAGCGTGTAGCCTGGCTCTGCATAGCAGAGGAGTCACTCGGACCCATTCTCTTCCCCCATCCCAGGCCTGGAGGAGTGCGGGCGCATCAGTGTCTCAGCCCCCATCGTCCACCTGGGAGATGCCATCACGGCCTCCTGCGTCATCAACAGGACCTGCAGCCACCTGGATCCAGAGTCACAAATTGTGTGGAAACTGGGGACAGAGCTTCATCCCGGGGGGAGGCAGCAGCGCTTGCCAGATGGGACCCAGGAATCCACCATCACCTTGCCCCACCTCAACGACTCTCGGGCCCTTCTCTCCTGCTGTCTGCGCTGGGGCAACAGCCTGCAGATCCTGGACCAGGCTGAGCTGCAGGCAGGCTGTAAGTCTCCTGCTCTGCCTCCAGTGCCCCCCTGAGATACTAATAAGAACTCCTCTTTCTGGAGCTCTTGCTCAACAGCACTTTATGGGCTCGACATTAGGTCATCTTCCCTACCAGTGGATAGTGCTGTTTGGCCCCATTTTACAGATGAGAAAACTGAGGTTCAGAGAGGGTAAGTAACATGCTGAATGAAGGTCCCAAACTAATAAGGATGGAGCGGAGATTTATACCAGCCAGCGTGGCCTGAGAACCAGTGTAGTAACTGCTACTCTATATGGCCGCCGACTAAGCCCAACTCCCCAGTCTCAGGCTTCTGCACAAGCAGCAAAGAATGCAGTTTGTGCCAAGCCGATGCATTAGAAAAAACAAAGACAGACCAAGGTTCTGGTGTAAGAATCAACAATAGTGCTCTGAGCACTTTACATAGAAAGTCATTCGGCTTTCACAATAGCAGTGGTCAGCAAACCGCGGCTCGTGAGCCACATGCGGCTCTTTGGCCCCTTGAGTGTGGCTCTTCCACAAAATACCGGCTCTTCCACAAAATACCGACTTCTGCGCATGGGCCAAGACTTAGGGGACAGGTACATTACCATTACCCCCATTTTACAGATGAGGAAACAGAGCCCTTAAGTGACTTCAAAATCACACAGCTAATGAGTGGCAGAACCAGAGTGAAACCCAGACACTACCTGTCACTGTTAAAGGGGGTGGAGTTGAGGGGGTTTGAGGCTCTGTGAAGCCTGTCCCTGTGCGTGCCTGCAACTCGGTGTACCCCCCGGGCTGCACGGAGACAGGCGAATAAACAAAGTGGCCCCAGAGGGAATGACCCAGAGCAGGGAAGCAAGCCGGTTGGTCCCAATGGGAGCTTTCTGAGTGTCCTCCCCAAAGCCCTCACTCTCCCCATCCTGTGCACAGACCCTCCCGCCACACCCCACAACCTGTCCTGCCTCATGAACCTTACCATCGAGAGCCTCATCTGCCAGTGGGAGCCAGGACCTGAAACCCACCTGTCTACCAACTTCACCCTAAAAAGCTTCAAGTGAGTAGGGTCTTATTCCAGCGCCATCCTGGGGTGGGGCACAGGTAGGACTGTGGGTTTGGGGGACACAGAGGCAGTGATGGGAGGGAGAAGGGAGCCTTGCTGTCTTCCTCTGCTTGACACCCAAGCCTGGCCTGTTGGCAGGAGCCGGGGCAACTGCCAGGACCAGGAGGAGGCCATCCCCGACTGCGTGCCCGAGGACGGGCAGAGCCGCTGCGCCATCCCACGCAAACACCTGCGGCTCTACCAGAGTATGGGCCTCTGGGTGCAGGCGGAGAACGTGCTGGGGACCAGCGTGTCCCCACCGCTATGCCTGGATCCCATGGACGTTGGTGAGTGATGTCCTGGGTATGGGGGAGGGAAGAGGCTCCCACAAAGGGTAGACCCAGAGAGGCAGAGAGAGGGAAACACAGACTCAGAGACAGACAGACAGACACTGGAAGACCTAGGGATGGAGGAAGAGAAGAGAGATGGAGACCAAGGGGGATGCAGTTGGAGACAGAGCTATGGAGACACAGAGACGTGGAAGAAACACAGACACAAGGACACATTCATTCCTTGGGCAGGTTTCTTGACGTGCCCACTGGGTGCCAGGCACTGTTCTAGGTGCTAGGGATGCAGCAGTGAGCAAAAGAGCAAAAACCCTACCCCGGAACGTTACCTTCTAGTGGGCAAAATAAGTAAGATAGGCTGTCAGTCAGCTGGTGATCAGTGCGATGGGGACGTTGAAGCGGGGAAGGGTGTGAGGGCTGGGAGTGGGGAGCAGCTGCTATTTCAGTAAGGGGGTCAGGGAGGCCTCACTGAGAAGGACACCTGAAAAGATCCTTGAAGGAAATGAAGGAGCAAGACACTGGGTCTGTGGAGGGACAGTGTTCCAGGGTACAAACAGTGCACCCTGGGGTGAGAGTATGAAACAGACCCAGAGAGAAACAGACACATACACAGAGGCAGACCCGCAGAAACGTGGTAACACAGGGATGAAGAGACAGAGCAAGAAAGAAAGACACAAGACCCCACGGATGGAGACCCAGGGAGAAAAATGGAACCACAGACAGGGAGAAGGGGGAGCTAAGGCAGGGCCTATCAGATGGGGGAGGGAAAGGGTCTGACAACCCCTCTCCCTGCAGTAAAACTGGAGCCCCCCACCCTGTGGGCCCTGGACCCCAGCCCTGAGGTGGCCCCACCCCAGCCAGGCTGCCTACAGTTGCACTGGGAGTCATGGAAGCCAACCCTGTACATAGACCAGAAGTGTGAGCTGCGCCACCAGCCACAGCCTGGAGGAGCCAGCTGGACCCTGGTGAGGTGGAGGGCAACCTCAAGAGCCTGGGGTGTGGGTGGCTGAGGGGAGGGTACGTTGAGCTGGCCCTGAAGGGCACAGGAATCCAGGCTCAGAGCCACGCCTTCCTCCCCCAGGTGGGCCCCCTGCCCTCCAAGACCCTTCAGCATGAGCTCTGCGGGCTCCGCCCATCCACAGCCTACACCCTGCAGATGCGCTGCACCCGCTGGCCCCTGCCTGGCCACTGGAGTGACTGGAGCCCCAGCCTGGAGCTGACCAGCGCGCAACAGGGTAAGCGGGTGGTGAGGGGCTGGGATCGGCCATCAGGACCCAGTCCCACCTCGAAAGCCCTCCCTGACCAGCACCCCCTCCTCTCACTCCATCCACAGCCCCCAATGTCAGACTGGACACGTGGTGGCGGCAGAGGCAGCTGGACCGCAGGACAGTGGACATGCAGCTCTTCTGGAAGGTGACCCTCTGAAGCCACCCCTGAAGCTTCCTTCAACCCACACAGTCCCCTGTGAGCTGGGGCTCAGGACTCCACCAGCTCTGGGTGGCTTGGATGCATTTGTGTGTGATTTGCATGCACTTTGCATGTGCCTTGGAGACTTCTGAAGAATCTCTGTTAGCAGACACCGAAGGGTCTACCTGGCACATACTACGGCAGGACTCACCGATGGCAAAGGGTTGGCTCAGTGGATAGTTAAGTGCCTGCCGCACACACCAGCTTGCTCCTTCCTTCTCTCTATCCTAGGACCTGGCACAGGGCAACAGAGGGAAGCAGGGAGGCAGGGAGGAAGGGAGGAAGGCTGGCCTTCCTGGGGGGGCTCAGCTCCTGTGGTCCATCCACCCCATCAAGAAGCTCTCCCCCACTCAAGATGAGATGTGCATCCCCCTATCTTTTTCCTCCTCTGCCCACCACAGCCAATGCCCGTGGAGGAAGACAGCGGGCAGATCCAAGGGTACCTGGTCTCCTGGAGACCCTCGGGCCAGGCTGGAGCAGTCCCACCCCTCTGCAACACCACCGAGCTAAACTGCACCTTCCACCTGCCTCCGGAAGTCCGGGAGGTGGTCCTTGTGGCCTACAACACCGCCGGGACCTCCCGCCCCACCCCTGTGGTCTTCTTGGAGAGCACAGGTAAGGGGGCTGGCAGCTAGTAGAGCATGGTGATTAGGCATGTACATTTGAAGGCTCGACTGCCTGGTTCAAACCTAGTCCTGTCACTTGCTAACAGTGTGGCCTGGGCAAGTTACTTAACCTCCCTGGCCTCTGTTTACTCATCTAGCAACTGGGGGTGACACAGCACCTACCTCAAAGGGTTGTTGTGAAGATTACGAGTTAAGACATGTGCCTGGCACATAGTAACTGTTCAGTATGTGCTAGCTATTATTATTATGAGCCAGAACCAGGTTAAGCTATGGTGGTGCCTACATACACACACACACACACACACACACACACACACACACACACACAGCCCATTCTGCCAAGGAAGATGGTAGAGAAAGCCCTACGTTTTTCCAACTGGAACACGGTCCCTGCATTGATTGGTCATTCTCCAGGGACCAGCCACCACCACCCCCAGATTCCCCTGAACATGGGTCCTCATAAGGTGTGACTAACAACAGGTAATATCCCCACTGTCTAGCTGCAACCTCAGGTGTTACTCAACCTCTCTGTGCCTGTTTTCTCATTGATAAAACGGGGACAGTAGTAGTGTCCCTGTCATGGGACTGTTAGCAGACACCAAGGACTCTACCTGGCACATACCAAGAACTCCATAGTGTTAGCTTTTGTAGACTCTATAAGGGAAGAACTTTTATCATCATTTCCATCTCACAGATGAGGAAACTGAGGCTCAGATATTGACTTGTAAGGAGCAAAGCCAGGATTTGGACCCAAGCTTCTGGCTCTAGGGCCTGCATTCTTTTCACCTTCATCCCATCTTCTCCTACTCTGTCTCCAGGCCCACCGCTGGGCAGACTCCATACCATGGCCCGAGACCCTCACAACCTCTGGGTGGGCTGGGAACCCCCCAGCCCTCGGCCTCGGGGCTATGTGATCGAATGGGGCCCGGGGCCCCCCAGCCCCAGCGGCAGCCATATGACTTGGAAAATGGAGCATAATGGAAACATTGCAGGGACCCTGCTACAAGGTGAGGCAGGCCTGGGGGAGCAGGCAAGTGGGCAGGGCTGGCAGACGGGGAGGCAGTGGGCCAGGGGCAACCTGAACCACCCTGGACAAATAGATTCCCAAGTCTTTCTTGATCCTTCACTGGTCTCACCTCATATCCACAGAATCAGAAAGTTCCTCTTGCAGTCTAACTGGATCCTCTGTTGCTACAGTTCTGACCCTGCCACCCTTCTAGCTCTCTCTCTCCTCCACTTGTTTCCCCTTACCCCGACCAAACGATCTGAACAAGAAGCTAGGCCCAGGTTAGCCCCGACTAGAGGTCTGAGGTTAGCTCCTGATCATCGGCAGAGGTTGCCCCTAACCAGGGTGCCTCCCCATTTTCTCTCCACAGAGAACATCAGGCCCTTCCAGCTCTACGAGATCACTGTGACCGCCCTGTACCAAGACACCGTGGGACCCTCCCAGCGCATCTATGCCTACTCCCAAGAGACGGGTTCGTCAGCCACCAGGCCCCCCCTCAGAATCTCCTCGATCTCAAGGCCTGCCTAGGCCCCACCCACCAGTACTAAGAGGAAGCATTTCCTTCCTCCCCAACCTCTGGCCCAAGGAGGGGTCCCCCCCAGTCCTAAGATCACCCCTGGCTTACACTGGCCCCCTGTGGCTACAAAGAAGTCAGGTGGTGGGGTGATAGAAATTAGGCAGTGGGTTTGGCAGAATGCAGGGAGCAAGTCTGACAAAACTCAGTCCATTGTCCTGACAGAAATAAGGTGTCACGTGTGATAGAAATAGAGAGAGGGCCTGGCATCGCTTCAGAGAGTGAGGGGCAGAAATCGAATAGTGAGTAGGCCAGATTCAGGCCTGGGAGGAATCAGGGAGTGAGGCTTTGGAGTCAGAGAGAACCAGGTGCAGATCCTGACTGGGCCACTTATTAGAAGGAGATGGGATTCGGTCCAAGTTCCTGAGACAATGAAGCAGGGATGAGCATCCCCTCGGACTCTCTGATGTCACCCACCTCGCAGCGTGTCCCAGTTCTTGGGTCTGAGGAGCCACGAGAAGTCCGGCCGGGCTCTCCACCCGGCCTCTGTCAACCTGCACCTCTCTCTTCCGGCAGCCCCCTCCTACACTCCGGAGCTGCATCTAAAGCACATTGGCAAGACCTGGGCCCAGCTGGAGTGGGTGCCCCCAACCCCTGAGCTGGGGAGGAGCCCTCTTACCCACTACACCATCTTCTGGACCAATGCTCAGGGCCAGTCCTTCTGTGAGTCTGTCCTCAGCCCCAGGATGCCCGGGAGGGAGCAGCCTTGGAGGGAGCCTCAGCATTGGGGCCCAGCTGACCATTCTCCTCTGTTCCCAGCCACCATCCTTAATGCTTCCTCCCATGAGTTTGTCCTCCCCGGCCTGGAGCCTGCCAGCTTGTACCACGTCCACCTCATGGCTGCCAGCCAGGTGGGGGCTACCAACAGTACAAGCCTCACCTTGATGACCTTAGCCCCAGGTAAGGGGAGGAAGGGGCTGGCCAGACAAGGCCTTTGGGAGGGTGCCTCAGACAAAAGATCTTCATTTTTAGAGTACACAAGGCTGGCCTGGATCTCCTCCAGGTCCGAGGGAAGAGACCTAGCCCTGCCCTTGGATCTTAGTCTGAGAGAGGAGGACCAGCCTTACTCGCACACACTCTAATCTCTCCTGGCTTTCCCCTCACCCCAGGGGAGTTCGAGCTGCACATCTTCCTGGGCCTGTTCGGCCTCCTGCTCTCACTCATCTGCCTCTGTGGGGCTACCCGGTTCTGCTGCAGACCCAGGTGAATCCAGAGATCTGACACCCAGATACCCCTCCCCACAAGGAACTGCAGGCCCACCCCAGCCTTCTCAGGCCTCAGGGCCCGTGTCTGGGAGTCAGGCCCTCCACCGTCTCCTCTCTGCACTAAGCAGCCATGCCTTCAGCTGCGGGGGGATGGGTGGGAGACAGGCTGGAAAGATGGCAGGGCATGCCTGGCCCTACCTTACCTGCCCCCTTCTCCAGCAGGAAGAATTCCCTCTGGCCAAGTGTCCCAGACCCAGCCCACAGCAGCCTGGGCTCCTGGGTGCCTAGCATCCCTGCGGAGGTGAGAACCCTGGAGGAGGAGGGAAAGGGACTGGGGGTGTGGGCCCAGGTTCAAAGTGAAGAGCTGCCCCTCTGAGGATGAGTACTCAGGCCTTCCCTTCACTTCCTAGCAAGATGCACTCCCTTTGGAGTAAAGCAGACCTGCGTTTACCCAGTTTATCCCAGCTCTACCCATTTCAAAACCTCAGACATCCCCCTGTGAAATGAGACTAATCCCACACAGAACTGTTGGAGAGATTCCCCAACATGAGTCTGAACAGCACATAGCACATAACTCGAACATATGAGGAGCTTTGCAGGTGCAAATCTTTGAGTTTCAACAGACAGCCGCAGAAAGGTCCCCACACTGACCCAGCTCAGCAGGGACAGCGGCTGGGGCAGACATCTGAAATGAATCGTGCCCTCACCCCATCTCCTGTCTCCAGGAGATCTTCCAGCTGCCCAGCCTCTGGGACACCAGCATGCCACCCATCACCAAGATCACGGTGCTGGAGGAGGAAGAGAAGAAGCCTGGGCCCTGGGAGTCCCATGAGAGCTCAGGAACCTGTGGCCTTCCCGCCCTGGTCCAGGCCTATGTGCTCCAGGGGGACCCAAGAGCATCTACTATCCAGCCCCAGGCCCAGTCAGGCAACAGTGACCAGGTCCTTTACGGACAAGTGATGGGCAGCCCCGCCCGCTCAGGACCAGCGGACTACATCCGCTGCGACTCCACTCAGCCCCTCTTGGGGGGCCTCACCCCGAGCCCCAAGTCCTATGAGAACCTCTGGTTCCAGACCAGCCCACAAAGGACCCCAGAGCCTCTAGGCCCCAACCAGGAGGATGACTGCGTCTTTGGGCCACTGCTTGACTTCCCCCTCCTGCAGGGGCTCCAGGTCCATGGGGTAGAAGGGCTGGGGGGCTTCTAGAGCTTCCTGGATGCCCCCGCTGGATCTGCCTCTTGAAAGGCGGGCGCCATCAGAGAGGAGGCGAGGGTCAGAAAGCCCGTCACTAAAAAACCACCCTGCCCCAGGAAAGGCAGGAAGGCTCCCGGTTTCCCACTGTCTGAGGCCCCCAGCACCCCTCCCCATGTGCCCAGTACCCATGGGCTGGGCCTCCCACTGCAAAGGTCAGGAACGGCTTCCCCCAGCCTGTCCACTACAGTGCCTTCTGTGCTTATTTCCTGTCATTTCCGTCTCTTAAACTGGTCTATGGTTCCGTTTGACTTGGTTTTATTTTAAGAAACTCTTCTGTATGCCTGAGTCTCTGTTCTTTTCCTTTTCAGGGCCCTGGCATTTGGGGGCGGGGGTCTGTACCTCTCAGAATTGTTGGTTGGTTGATTTTTTTCCTTCATTCATTCAACCAGAATCCTACTGGCAGCAGGGACTCAAAAATGCCTTGGCTTAGTAGTCTATTCTCAGAGAGCTCCATTTTAGTGGAGAGTCGGAAACTGACCACTAGGACACAGTGGCCAGGGTTACCTGGAGGGAGTCACAGAGTGCAACATAGGGATACAGACCTCAGAAAAAAAGTAACTTCTGTTGGGGAAATATAATTCAAAACAAAATCTCCCACCAACCCAGAAAAACTTCTCTACAAAGGCAGAAATGAAGAAACCAGTTTTATTACTGAACGAGCATTAAACCAGAATGTGATGTGCACCACAGGCAATTAGCTGAAGGGCTTGCAAAGACAGGAAGAAATCATACTCTTGCCGGGCTGGTGTTGCTCAGTGTGTGAGTGTTGACCTATGTACCAGGAGGTCACAGTTGATTCCCGATCAGGGCACATGCCCTGGTTGCTGGCTCCATCCCCAATGGGGGGCGTGCAGGAGTCAGCTGATCAATGTTTCTCTCTCATCAATGATGTCTCTCATCTATCTCTCTCTCG